TAGACGACGATTCTGCGAGAATCGAAACCGTCTGAGGACGGCGAGGGATTGCAAAGGGCTGTATTACGATGTACTATTGTGCAAGGATGAGAAACTTTGCAAAAAGAAACGCAGAACGATCGACGAGTTTGCCACGCTGAAATGTGGCCTTTTCAGCGAAAGATTACCCAAATTGGACGGCACAGCGAAAGGATTGCAGGCGGCTCACGAAGCCGACAGGCCATGGATGGCCTGTGCTATATTCTGTCGGCGAAAGGACATTGCCGCTTATTATGCACCACGCGTCGAATTAAATGACCTTGGACTCGACCCATACTTTCCGGATGGAACATGGTGCCACGCTCAAGAGGACCAAGATTACTTCTGTCGTCAGCATCACTGTCTGCCAGAAAACTTTCGATTCGGTAAAAAATTGCCAAAGGTTTATCGATACGAGGACGACAATGAGGAATTGGGACCGCAAAATGCACAAAATCGACTTGGATTCGCCGATCGATCGAATGTCATCAAGTACCTGACATCAGGCCCAGATGGTATACCTTTGCTGACTTCTGTATCGCGCGGTATCGCTTCTCCATTCGGCGAAGATGAATGGATCGACAAGGATTATATCGAATTACCTCCATCCGTGTCGGAATCGCCTTATCCCATTATTAACAGTTATTAACAGCATTAACATTAAGAGGGAAAGATGAGCAGGTGAACAGGAAAAAAGATCGATAGCTATTAGTCGATCGAGCGACAAGGTCACTATATATTGCAAGACAAGGAGAGAAGTAGACTACTGCGTAAAGTGGACATATATTCTCCCGATTCGTACGAGGTGTTTCGAGAGCACTCGAGAGATAGGACGAGAGAGCGATGACGTCATCCACTTCACCATCTATTTTAAGAGTGTCCCGATGTTATATTCGTATTTCCATAGGAGCGGAACGGAGAATCGAGGGTAATAAAGATGTGTATCGTATAACTTAATATTTCTCATATTATATTTAGCGTACAAATAATTAATCAATCATTAAACTTAAGAGCAATTACATAACAAGAGACGTCGACTCGATATCAAAAACAATCAAGTCTATTATATATATATATATATATTCGTCAGTTTGTCTTGCAATATTGAATGTAAACAAAAATTATTTTATATTAAGTCCATTCTACAAATGTGTAACCATTGTTGTTGTAATTGCAAGAATCAACCAATCACAGTCGAATAACAATTGTAGAACAGGCTTTAGACAGTGTATGTATGACAAAAATGATGTACAGACTCGTCGCAATATCTGAAATTTTCATCTCACCGTTCTTCCCTCTTTTCTTTTTGAACTCTGTTTAAGTGAAACGAATAAAATTTCTGATCTTGCACTCGCGTTATCTTACAGTCTTCGTACACACTACATGTATACCCCTAAGTATACACACGCATACACACTCACGCATACTTGCACATATGTATAACATGTATAATGGAGAAAATAAAGTAATCCAGACATGCAACCACAATGAAATTAGCGATATAGTAGATTCTCTATAATCATTTTATAATTTAATTTATATCTGTGTGTTTACTCTTGACGTCTTTCCCAGTAAACGAGAATGGATTAAAAGTGGATTGAAGTTTTTTTTCTATCCGAATGCGTATTTTAAATAGCGAATACTTTTTTTTGGATTTAATTGGATTCAATTAGACTCAATTGGATGCAATTGGATTGAGAAACTGCATTTGCTATTCAAAATTTTAAATTGAACAGTATTCACAATGCACAGAAAAAGGTGATATTATTTTTAGATTGAAAGGTATAGAGATATGTTCCATACAATTTCTATAAATATGAATAAAAATGCATTCAGGATTGAAAAGCATTCATTTTAACATTCGTGAATCCATATTTCTGAAAATTTGAATCCATTCTCATTTGCCGAGTTAGTTAGAGACCAATGCTACATGTAGACATCAAGTCACTGAATTTCAATTGAATTGAATATCGATGTAACGTCGAAAAAAGTACATGTTTATCTTATTTGATTTGGCCTCTAAGAGTAAATCGCGCGCGGGAATATTTAATCGTTCTCGATCGTTCCATCAGAGTCGTAGTCATTATCGTCATTGTTAACGTCATCGTCATCGTCGTCGTCCTTGTTATCGTCCTTGTTATCATTATCATTGTCGCTACTGTTTCCATGTACTAGAACGTACATGAAAACGTATCCGTACTTTACTGATCGAAAAGATTAAATATATAAAATTGCGACGATATTTCACACGCGTTCACGGTTTTCGATCAATACGAGCTCAATTGGGTAATGTATCGTACAATATATCCTTGGCGCTTTGTGTTAAAGTTTCGGGGAATCTGATGTCAAACGACACGAGAAGATCGCCCTTCCGCGATGGTTCTTTCGGGAAAGGTAGACCGTGTCCTTGGAACCTCTTGACCGTGTTCGGCTTGACAATCTCCCGCGTTAAATTCAAAGATATATTTTCGCCCAGTAGTGTAGGAACTTCGACAATAGCACCGCACAAAGCTTGCTTCAAGCTCAGTTTGCACGTATATCTAATGTCACTGCCTTCTCTCCTGAACATCGGATGCGGCTTGTCCCTGATGATAAAGACAATGTCTGCGGGTTCCCTCCTCGGCGATTGATCACCCTCCTTCTGGAAAGTGATTTTCGTACCAGCTTTCCAGCCTGGTTTCACATTGATGGTGAGAAGCTTATCCTCCTTCTTGGTGCTACCGTCTGGCTGTATGGCTCGTCTGCATATTTTCATCTTTTTCGTGCAACCTCGCAGAATCTCCTCCAGACTGATGTACAAATCGTGCTCGATGGCCGGATCTTGGGCACGATCTTTGCCAGCTCCTTTAGTATTCGGGCTCGCAAAATTAAACGAATGTGACCGAAAGGCGCCGCCTTGTCGCGGCGGTCCCATGCCGCCGAGTCCGAAGGGATCCATGTCGATGTCCATGTCGTCGTCGTGGAATGCGAATCCTCCACCACGGTTACCAGCGAACTCGAACAAGTTGTGAAAAGGACTGGCTGAACCGAAGAATTGAGCAAACGTCGCCCTGGGATCACCGTGGAAGGTGTACGTGGCACCTCCTCCGCCTCCGCTGGCCGAGGCACCACCTTTCAGACCCTCCTCGCCGAATTTATCGTAAACTTCTCTCTTTTTCGCGTCTGACAACACCTCATACGCCTCGGCTATTTCCTTGAATTTTTCCTCAGCACCAGGGCTTCTGTTTTTATCAGGATGATATCGTAAGGCTAACTTTCTATATGCCTTTTTTATCTCTTCGTCGCTCGCTCCCTTGGCTATGCCAAGTATCTTGTAGTAGTCCTTTCCCATCTCCTTGCCTATTCTGAAACAGCGTATTGTATTGATATACATATCAACCCCCCTAATTATACATTATTGTGCATTCTTTGACAAAAACAAAATTACACCCATATTTAGACAAAAGGTCCCATTATCTTGGAAACAGATGTGCAAAAATGTCACATGATTAATTTAATTTCTCTCGATATGACTTCTACAGATTTATTAGAGAGCGGTGCAAGAGAGAGAGAGAGACACACAGAGGTCCTATCGTCCTATGCCTTTACTGTCTAGAAATCTGCAAGTCTTTTTTTTTTATCAATGAATGCACAATATACATCTCAAAAAAGTAGTGTACAGTAAATCATCGCATGTTCCTTCTTCGATGCAATGAATTACTTTCTTTTATAAGAATTAAGATAATTTGAAAAATCCATTTTCTTCCAAAGTATATAAAGATATGCTAGTTACGCTTTTTGAACTGGCTTTAATATTGTTACTAATGTAATGGCTCAGAACTAGAGTTTATCGCGTACAAGTCACATCCGCATGGTCTTCACACTCTCATTATCGACACGATAAAACATTCTCATTGTCGAACTGAAGTAAGAGATGGAAGGACAAGCACAAGCTACAATTCGCACATTCGCTGACTTTCACGGACGTGCATTCACGTGCATTAGCACGCGCGTGTGCGTCCCATTTCATGTATTTGGTAAAGTGGGCTATCAAATCAAAAGCGTCGCGCAAAACACACGAGCAAAAAGCGGGAACGTCCGCGTGAATTTCCTGTCATTCTTTTCGAATCTCGAGCGATCTCGGAGTAGGAGAAACAGCGCTCCAACACACCCACGTACGTATATCACCGATATCTATTTCTGGCAATGATGACCGCGAATACGCGACGAATGTTTCGAGCTGCAACGCAAAAATAAATACCCCACCCTTCGATTAAGTTCCGTGTCGTTGCCATTGTCGTCGTTCCATCTCTGATATTTTCTACACGTGAAAAATCGATCCCGATGAAAGGCGGAAAGGAAGGGAAAAAGAAATGTACGCGGCAAACGTACGGAAAGCGTGCGATCGATTCGCAAACGGGTCACAAGGTTACGAATATTCCGTTATTGTTATACCGATTTTTCTTTCCCCTTAAACTTTGTAAGTAGCTGCCTATTATAGCTTCGTCTACCACTTACTATCTCTATCCCGTGATTATTCCTCACGTATATGTTTCGTGCAGACACTCCAAGCACGTATGTACGACGTTCACGACAGTTGACAAAGAATAATCGCAAACAGATCCAAACCCTCGACGCACGTACCAAGCTGTACTAAACTGTCGCGTAACCTCGCCATCCATATATATATAAACTTTCCATCTACCAGCTTCCGGAACTTTCGAGAATGAATCGACGCCAGCTTCGCAGCGCTCCCTCGATGACGTCAATCCTCGATGACGTGCGACTTGCCGCGCCAGTTTTGAATCTTTCCCTTCCCGCAACTTTTTCTCTCGCGATTACGGCTGCGGTCCGTTTGACGCTACAAACGCTTCGAAGCGTTCTTTGATTAGTCAATTCGTAAAATTCTTTGTTCTGATTGATCGCTCAAACGTTTCGAAGCGTTTGTAGCGTCAAGTGAACCGCAGCCTAAAAGGAAGAGCGAGAGATATATATATTTCTGGATTTATTAATCAAGATTATCTACTTAAACGTAAAAACAGAGCGTGCTTGCATTCTCGCGAATTTGGCGGCATGTATTTGTCATAAAAGTCCTGAACAAACTCTTCCACTTTGAAACCAAATTTTTGGTACAATATTAAAGCGGGATTCGTGGCCGACACATGTAACGTGACGTCTTGTCCCATGCAGGTTTGTATCAAGTGGTACAACATGAAAGTGCCGATGCCAGATTTTCGCCACTCCGGACGTGTAAAAAAAAATGAGATGTAGGCTTCGTTGTAGCCAACGTATGGTACCAATATCGCGAATCCAATGACCAACTTTTTATACAGTACTACACATGTAAAGTCTGGATACTGTAAACATTCGGTCACTAAAATATAGAGATGAAACGAATTATAAAACTTTTAGGTATAAGATACTTATATATATTTATCTAGTATAATACCACTTACAATCTATACCAGGCCAAAAGAATTGACAACAGAGACTGTTGATGGCTGGAATGTGTTGTGGTCTGATGTAAGAATAATCGATGGATGCCCTAAGTGACAGTTTCCATTGTGGATCACCTTTATTTACTTTCATACATAATTCTTCCATGATTCTTAACCATAATGGATGACAACTAGTATCTCGTCTTATAAATGGCTTCAAAAGTCTATTTGTGTATGGACTATGTACAGATGTAGGTTCATTGTAACCCTGCAATCTTTGTTCGAAAATACATTCTAGATCGTCGTTAAAAAATCGATCCAATACCCGATCATTGTTTCTCGACGGTATTACGAGAGCTCCCGATTTAGATCCGAAACAATCGACGTCCAACAGAGGAAGCCGATACTCTCTTTTCGTTTTTCGTACTGCTAATTTTCTGTATAGTCTTCTAATAGCAGGCGGGGCTTTGTCCAGATCAGTCTTACTGACCTTTTGCAACAAATATGCTTCTTCTTGATGAGTCATGCGTGGTATTTTTTCATCTGGAATATATACGTTTATATATATGTGTGTATATATATATTTTTGTGTATTTTGTATTTGCTACACATGCAATTCGTGATAAAAGATAATTACTGTTAACGAAAGATTTCAACCAAGGTCGTTGACGACGCTTTGCTTCTTTAAACCAAGAAACTGGAGGCTCTTGTATGGAAACTGGGCTATCATTACTGTCTTCGTCATATTCTTCTTCCTTGATTCTTTTAATTTCGTCGCCACTATAGTTTGATGACCATAAAGCACTCGTATTACACAGCCAGTCGCAGTTGTCCATCAGTTGTGCCAAATGAAAATTGTTACTTTCATATTGGCAGTCACGTATTAAATCAGAGATGGATGGAAGATCGGTATCATTGCGTGACATTACATTACTCTCGATATCCACATCTAAAAGATACAATTCTCTTGATATATATCTTATGTTTGTTTATACTGTGCTGCTTCTATTACATACCATTTGGTTCATCTTCTTCCAATAAAAAATTAGATAGTGTCTCTGTAGGTTGAACATATGCATGGGAATACATCAAGGAGCCTTTATTTTTAAATAGTTCTCCACTACAATTGCTATCCTCTCCGATTGAGAGACTAGAATCTGATGGCACGGGACTGTCCAATGGCTTGCAAGGTAATTTTGTACTAATGTGTTTTTTTCTATCCATTACCATTTTGCTATCTAGAAAGACACATACATATACTATACATGTGTGTGTGTGTGTGTGTGTGTACAAGGTGTTTTCAAATTCACGCCCGCGAAGTACAAGACGTGAAACTTTATGCTAAAACAAACAACTTTTTCCTTTAACAAAATTGCGTCTGATAAATAATTTTTTGCATTTACTCATATAACTTCAACCTGCTCTCCTGCAAAAACTACTTATTAGACGCAATTTTACAAAAGGAAATAGTTATTTGTTTTAGCATAAAGTATCGCGTCTTGTACTTTACGGGCATAAATTTGAAAACATCCTGTATATACATTTAATTGTATTACTTTTGGCTATCAAAATTTCAGGAGGCTCATTGCCCAATAGTTTCCACCATCCAGACTCTCCTAATTCATTGGTACCAGATTTGAAAAAGATACCACTATAATGAGACAGTGTACCAGATATGGTACCAATCCAATTCTTCTTCCTTTTTCTAAATAATATCAAATTTACATTATAAATTCTAGATCACATATGGCAATAGGCCTGTTCTTTTTGGCTGAACTTTTGCACCAGTTCAGCTTTCTTCTTCTTCTTTCCTCTTGAAGAGAAAAGGAAAAAAGATAAATTGGTGCAAAAGTTAAAAGGAATAGGCCTAATGTAAACTATAATAGTACAGAGTAAAGTACTTACACACTCTTTTTAAATAAAAAGTCCCAATTTCTGTCTACAAAAGCAGTGATATCAGACTTCCAATGAAAGTATCCTCTTCTACTGATACCACTCGACTTTTCACGTAGATTGTAAAGCGTCAAAATAATGACATTAAGCCATGGCATTTTATCGCGCACAACTGTTTCCTCACCTAGTGGATTGCAAGAGGCACAATTAAGTTCGAAGAAAACATCTCCTACAAAAGAAACTGGTACGCTGCCTCTCTTTAAACATGTGGTATGTACTCTTCTGTCGCATCCACCGTTACAACGTAACGATGGTTTATTGTAAGGATCACATGCTTTTCCACAATTTTTGCATTTTTCGATACTCTCAGCTTCACTCGACTCTTGTGAATTTGTTATGTTTTCTACATGTTTGTTAAGAGTTTCTGACATATTTTAACTTGCAGGAACGACGATAGTTTGCGGCAAAAAGTTTATTTAACCTCTATTTATTGTATAAATCTCTATTTTTCTGTTTGGGAACTTAAAAATTATTAAAAATGACAAAAATATGGACGTGTTATTGCCCGTGTTGTGTGCAAATCAGAAGTTGTGCACTTGTGCCCGCTTTCGCCAAACTTTGGGTGCCTTTTCATACTGACGCTCGATTGGAATTTTAGGTGCAATCCATGGGTGCAATTTCATGCAGCGAAGGAAAGCTGGCTTTTTACCCCCACTCCATAAATTTTCGTATACAGCGAAGTTAGGCCCTGCGCACAATAGAGAAAATATTAGGAACAGGAATAAATATTATGCTAATGTAACTGGTATCTGATAGGTTAAAATCTTAATGCGGAGTCTACAATAGAAGTTGTAGCGGTCGTAGGGTCTTAAGTCATAGAAAATTGACCAATCACAGTTGAATATTCTTCTCATATTCGACTGTGATTGGTCAATTTTCTACGACTTAAGACCCTACGACTG